AAGGTTGTGCTCCCTGGTTAGGAAAGAGTTTGACGCCCTGAGTCTGTGCTCGCGGATCTCCATAATTGGCTTCACCATGTGCCCTGATGTGTGAAGGCAGATGCTGCCACATGAGCAGGGTGTCCCTCCTCACTCCCCACTGTCTGCAGGGATTAACGATGCCTCCAGTGCCAACTCCGGCCATCCAAATTCCACCCGAGCTGATGGCAAAGGCGGCAATGCAGGAGTACTACAGGAACACCATTGACCCTGTTGCCTACGGGCCTGGGAAGTACTGGCTTGACAGGTCCAAAGGTACTGCAAATGTGCCAGCTGCCCACCAGCGTCACACAGGGCACATCCCCATGGGGTCAGGGGGATGAGGGTGCTCACAGCAGCTCTGTTCATCTCCCCCTTTGAGACTCTTCATTCCCTCTACAAACTGGTGAACGGACCCTCACTCAGCATCTGCACGTGTGGCTTTATCCTGGCTTCCTATCCCCATCCCAGCACTGAGACTGTCCCTGTCCCAGCCATATCCACAGGTCCTCAGGGTTCTCTCCTTCTATGGCCCTTAAATATGCACTGGTGGTACATGCTGCTTGGGGGGACCCCCTCTTTGTCCTACCAAACCTCCAGAGACCAAGGCTGTGCAGGCAGGGATGAGTGACCAACAAGCTGGAAGTGCTGAGTGGCACCTACATCACAGGCCCTTAACAAGGACCCTGGGATCAACACCTCAGGCATGCTGGCCCCATAGCATTGCATTTCAGGGCAGGGGGAACAGTTGGGATCCTTCAGATACCGCCTCAGATGTCCCCAGCACCACAGGACACTGCTCCCAGTCACTTTTGCATTGCAGAAAAGTACAGGCCAGTTGTTGTCGGTGATGACAAATACGCGTCCTGGAGAACAAGTCCAAGCACTACAGCCTGGAGTAAGGGATCTGCTTACCTTCCTCTCCTGCCCAAGGTAGAGTCCACTCCTTCCAAATCCCCCAAACTGGAGACACCTCAGGTCTGCTGGACCTCCGCCTCTGCAGCAAAAGGGTGGCAATCCTCATAGGGCTGTCACTGCTCCTTGCAGGAAACAAGGATGAACACATTGCTGTACAGCATACCTGTAATGTGCCCCCTGAGACCCATGTGCCTCAATCAGTATGGTAAGGACCCTCGCCCTGTGCCTGTACTCTGCCTGTAGCTGTGCCTGTACCATGCTGGTGTCCATCCGGCTGACAGGCTGGCTGCTCCCTCTGACATTAACCTTCCCTCACCATCCCTGTGCTTCAGAGAAGATGGTGGTTGCTGACATGCTGCATAGAGTGCCAGTGTACAGTGTGACAGGGAGGATACCCTTCCAGAGCTACTACGTCCCCTGCTCTGGGCGACACTGCTGCCTGCGAGGGATTGACTACTACCTTGATGGGACACCTGCCACCAGAAAGAAACTCTTTGCAGTAGAGGAGAGGGCTGTAAGGTTGGGATGGTTTTGCTTGGGAAGGGATGGGATGGGATCGGATGGCTTTGCTTGGAATGGGATGGGATGGCTTGGGATGAGGTATGTTAATAATTAAGGAGGCTGGAGCACCTCCCGTATGAAGACAGGCTGAGAAAGTTGGGGCTGTTCAGCCTGGAGAAGAGAAGCTGCGTGGAGACCTTATAGCAGCTTCCAGTGTCTGAAGGGGGCCTATAAGGATGCTGCAGAGGGACTCTTCGTTAGGGACTGTAGTGACAGGACAAGAGGTGATGGATTTACACTGAAACAGGAGAAGTTCAGGTTAGATCTAAGGAAGAAGTTCTTCACTGTGAGGGTGGTGAGGCTCTGGAACAGGCTGACCAGAGAAGTGGTAAATGCCCCATCCCTGGCAGTGTTCAAGGCCAGGCTGGACAGAGACTTGGGCAACATGGTCTAGGGTCAGGCATCCCTGCACACGGAAGGGAGGTTGGAACTCGATGATCTTAAGGTCCCTTCCAACCCAAACCACTCTATGTTGCCTTGGGTTCAGATCACTTGGGATGGACATCACCTCCCTTGTTCTCGGGGCCACTGCTCACTCTACTTCCTCTGTCTCTTGCAGGAGCATCCCGTGCTGCCACCATCACAGATCCAGAACGATATTCTGTGCCTTTGCTCGTTGCCACCAACCATCCTCGCAGTGCAGGACGCCTAGGTGCATGCAGCTTCAGTGGGGCAATGCTCCAAGCCAGCTGCCCTGGGCAGAAGCCTATCCTTTTTAACCAGAGCCAGCCAGCCACTCTCTCTCTCTTCATCAGGGTTTCACACTCAAGTGCTCAGAGGGTTATCCTGGGGACAATGGTGCAGACTGCAGAGCGCGAGGGGTAGCAGGTCCCACCATGGTGTCCATGCAGGCAGAGATGCAGCCACTGCACTTCCATCTCTCAGGCCAAGCTGATGGGACCAGGGAGGGCAGGACACCCTGGTGCTGGGCTGTGGAGTGTCTTGTTGCTACCTGTTGAGAAGCAGTTGCTAAATTTACCCCCACGATGGGTGTTTCTATGCTTGGTCCCATCCAGCATCCTTGGGACTGGACAGAACCCAAAACCTTGCCTGGCTGCATACAGCTCTGCATCTCCCCAGTTTTGGGACCACATCGGTGTTTCTTGTGCTGCCCATTTACTTTCTGTTGTCACTGTTTGCTCTTTCCATCCAAGAACCTGTTCCCTGCTCACACTGTTCATTACATTGTAATCAGCCCTGTCCTTCACCCCTGCAGGTCCAGCAGCACCTTTTAATCCTCACATGTTTACCCTTACGATGCCTCCATTGCTGAGGCAGCTATTTCAGCACTGGGAAAGCAGTGAGGAAAGAGAGGAAGCTGTTCAACCATCACTCCGCTACTGCACCTACCCACCAAGGGAAAAAATTAGGCATCAGGCTTTGCAGAAAGCATGTGATTGGCTTTAAATTCCTGCGCCCAGAAACTAAAACCAAGTGAGAACAAAAAGGGAGCACTGGGTTCTCCAAAGCTGTCCCTCAGCCTGAGCCACAGAGAGATGGTTCTCAAGGTCTCCTCCACTAAGAAACAGGAAGAGTTTCCTGGACTCCATCCCTGGCACTGTTCAAGGCCAGGCTGGACAGAGCCTTGGGAGACATGGTCTGATGGAAGGTGTCCCTGCCCACAGCAGGGGGTTGGAACCAGATGATCTTAAAGTCCTTTCCAACCCAAACCATTCTATGTTTATATGGCTGGCATGGCTTCTCTTTTCTTCTTCCTCACTGGAGTTTTCCCTCCATGGCTGATAACTTCACCTGCTTTCCTAGGTGGGACACAAGCTTCTTCACAAATACACAAGGAGTCCAGAGAGGCAGCTACACCATCCACCCTGAGTTTGTGTCCGAAGGCTTGTACACTCCTGCCTATTGAAGAGCAAAGATGGGCTCTCATTAAAACTGGCTTGAACAGCAGCTTCCCTCACGCTCTCTCCTACAGGCTGGGCAAGTTCTGGGGGATGGGGGATAAACTTCAGTGAGTGCTTCCACGGCCCTCACAGTGGTACCTGCCACCACCCGCGAGCTGGACGCCAGGAAAGCACACACAGAAAAGCTCTCAGAGCACGGTAACACAGGCAGGAATAGCAGCAGTCAGGCACTGGCACCCGCGTCTGTCAGCTTCATGCTGGGCTGCTCAGGACGTGCTTGCTTCTGCCAAGTTATCCAGGAAGATCTGCCATCCATCTGGGACACCGAGCACGGGCTAAATAAGGAGGAGGATTTGAAGGCAGCACATACTTAATGAAGGCATGAAATGCCCTTCTGTGACTATGATCTGGGAGCCCAGTGTCGACAGGCAACACCGCGCAGGGCTTTTCACGTGTGCTGCACATCCTACACTCACAGGCTGCAGTCCCCAGGGTAAGGAAGATCCAGCACAGAGCCACCTGGGGCTCCATGTTCTTGCTTGGGGCAGGAGAAACCCCATGAAAGCCCCATCCTGACCCTAAAACATCCTGGCACAGCCCCACCAGTGCCAAACCCCAAGTGCCCCCAGCACAGCCACAGGGGTACCCCCATCCCCAAGCTCCCTTTGGCATCCCCAGAAGCTCTAACAAAAGAGAAAACAAAATACTCAACCACTAAAATACTCTATTAATAATAAACGCTGGACATGTAAACTAAAGATTGAAGACTACACCTCTTGTTATAGTTCCACTAAATAGCTCAGAAATATACGAGGACTTAAATCTCTATCCCCAGCTTTCAAAGTTGATATTTTACATTAAACTATTTCCTGTTCCTCCTTCCCTCCCATCCCTAAACTGCCAGAATACCCTGGGAGATAAACCATGCACAAGCTCCAGCACGAGTTAGCAACAGCCCTCACTCCGCCACTGAAAGTATTCCCACTTCATGGGATTAAAATATAGCTACCCCATTAAAATCCAATTGAACAAAAAATATACCTCCACTATCAACAGTACTAACTTCAATTCTCAACAAGCACCCCAGTAATCACTCCCACAACAAGCATGAAGACCTACACCACACCCCATGTCAATCCCCCTAAGCTTGTGGAAAAGGCTCAGTTGCCATGAGAAAGAACAAACAAGAACCCACCACCCATCCAAATAAACCATATGTCATACCAAAGATATAAAAACACACAGCCTTCCAGTACAAGGGGGCTACAGGAAATCTGGAGAGGGACTTTACAAGCAAATGTAGTGACAGGACAGGGGGAATAGGTTTAAACTGACGGAGGGGAGATTGACACTAGGCATTAAGAAGCTCTTCCCTGTGAGGGAGCTGAGGCTCTGGCATAGGGTGCCCAGAGAAGCTGTGGCTGTCCCATCCCTGGCAGTGCTCAAGGCCAGGTTGGACACAGGGGCTTGGAGCAACCTGCTCTAGTGGAAGGTGTCCCTGCCCCTGGCAGGGGGTTGGAACTGGATGGGCTTTAAGGTCCCTTCCAACACAAACCATAGGATCAGTGATCCTATGAAAAGAAACCCCCAAACTCAGTAACTACCTATATCCCACTAGAGATACCAAAACCAAACCGACTACCCTGTAACAGGGCGAGGGGTTAGACACAACTAACTCATCCAAAACAAAACATACCCCTAAAAAAAAAGTACAAACTAAGTCACACCAGTTCTTGCTTGGCTCTTCCCCAAGGTCTATGGCCGGAAAAACACATCGTCACAAACCCCAGCTACAAGAACACAAAGAGAACGTCCCCCCGGTATTAAGCTTAACGGGATCGGCCGCCGGGGGGTGGCGAGG